TATATAGGATCTGAACCCGTGGCGGGAGCGCTGCTGCGCTCCCACTGCCGCACTCTCCCGAGTGTGCCACGGGCTCGGCCCAGATCAAATCTTTTAAGTTAGGGCTTAGAAGGAAAAGAAGTTGCTTTTTTTCCTTGGGTGATTACTTTTTTTTTTTTTTTTTTCCTTTTTGTCTCTTTTTTTGTGACCGGCAATGGATTGCAACCCTCAGTGTTGCGCCCGCACTGGACCGGGACCGGCAACGGGATCGCAACCCTCGGTGTTGCCCCCGCACCTCGCTCAGCCAGTGAGCGGCCGGTCTGTATGTGGGATCCGAACCCTTGGCGGGAGCGCCGCTGTGCTTCCCAAGCGGCGCACTGCAGCAGTGCGCCACCGGGCTGGCCCGGGTGATTACTTTTATTATCTGAATAGGTTAGTGGCTATTTCCTACACTTGAAATAGTTAAATATATTCCTACAGGAAACTATAATATGCTTGTATAAAACTAGCCATCTCAAATATTTATAAACTCCAATTAAGTCTTGTAAAAACGAATAAACTTGTAAAACTTGTAAAAATATACATGTTGGAATATGGAAGCTCAGAATAATAGTCCATCTTGTGAGAGATACATTAGAACTTTTAGAATTGCCTAAATAGTTTTTTATTCTCAATATGTTTTGTATTGTTTATGTGGATTTATATGTAGTGCTTTATTTTTTCCTTTCACCTCCCACCCCCAGGGTAATTTTTATAAACCTGTGAGGATTTGAAAACTTTATTCTGGGGCCGGCCCGTGGCTCACTTGGAAGAGTGTGGGGCTGATAACACCAAGGCCAAGGGTTCAGATCCCTATTATAGGGATGGCTGGTTAGCTCACTTGGGAGAGCGTGGTGCTGACACCACCAAGTCAAGGGTTAAGGTCCCCTTACTGGTCATCTTTAAAAAAAGAAAAAGCTTTATTCTTTCTTAAGTTGTGGTACACAGTTTACATTGGTCAGAGAAAGAAAGTTTTATGTTATTTACTTATTTTAGGAATGGAGAGATCAGGAATATTGTCATTAGTTGTCTTCTGTAGTGATTAACAGTTCTGAAATAGGAAAATAAAAAAGCTCTGGAAATTTTATAAAGCATTTCTTACAATAGAAATGGAAGGAAAAGGACTTCTACTTTTATTTTACCCCTACATTTGTAAGACACAGGAGAGATTAGAGAGAGAGACAATAGAAAACAAATACGTTTGAGGCCAAACCACCAACAATTTGGAAAAACTTTTTGTTTTACTTTAGAAATAATACTTAGTCACTGTAGCAAATAAAGATAAGCAAAATAAACAAAACAATTCTGTAATTCCACCACCACAAGATTAAATGCTAACATTTTGCTCTAGTCATTGTCTAGGGTTTAAAATCTTTTTATTTTATTATATATTGCCTGTAATGTACATTTATTTATTTGTTTATTCATGTATGGTGGCTGGCTGTTACAGGGGTCAAACCCTGGACTTGGATATTGGTGTTATAAGCATCATGCTCTGACCAATTGAGCTAATTGGCTAGCCCTGTAATGTGCTTTTTAAAAAGTTCTGGGGGGCTGGCTGGTTAGTTCAGTTGGTTAGTGTGTGGTGTTATAACACTAAGGTCAAGGGTTCAGATCCCCATACTGGCCAGCCACCAAAAAAAAATTTTTTTTTAAGTTTAAATCTACATGAAATACATGAATATATTTAGTTTATGAATTATGAGCATTTTTTTTGTGTGTTAAAATATATACACCTATATCGGTGCTGTTCAAAGTGTGGTCCACAAATGGCTGATCTGTATACTTTGTTACTAGTCTGTGATGTGATAAGTACCAAAATTGACAGTGTTTAGAAACTTTTATAGCAATTGGACATCATAATTTTATATCTGTAAAATCCGATGATGAAAATTATGGGTTTATGTATTTTTATTTCTCTTTTCTAGTAATTCACATTTATTGTATTTTACATAAGTAGTAGCCCATGATGGATTGGAGTTTAAGGAAAACTGGTCTTTCACAGATAGTTTGAGAAGCCATAGGCTATATAATTTTTAATATCTAGAAAGTATTCTGTTATGATATGGGTGGGCTATAATTTATTTCTTCAGTTCCTTTTTGTGGGAAATTTGGGTTTCTAATTAATTATCTTTGTGCATGCAGAGATATGCATGCATGCTTCGTGCATTTGTGTTATTTCTCTAGATACATTTGGGGAAGAATGCACAAGCCTTGACATTTCTTTTCTGTATTTCGTCCACACCAGGTTTCAGCTGTTCCACAGAGCTCCAGCAGTCATGGGCCCACCATAGCAGCAGTGCATAGCAGCCATCATCACCCAACAGCTGTGCAGCCCCATGGAGGCCAGGTGGTCCAGAGCCATGCTCATCCAGCCCCACCAGTTGCACCAGTGCAGGGACAGCAGCAGTTTCAGAGGCTCAAGGTGGTATTCAGCTCCTTTCCTTGAGTCAAGAAGTTTATCTTTAGCAGGAAGCATTAGCTTCACCTATTAGTGGTGGTGTGACAACTTTTAACACAAGAGAGCAGGGGATGAATCGAAAGAAGTTGTACTTTTTGTTTTGAAACCTGCTTATATGTATTTTCCATCTTGGCACCAGTGCCTTGTGCAGAGAAGAATATGCTTAAGAACTGTTTGTGAAAGGTACAGATGCCTGGTACTCAAGTATTATCAAAATTAAAGGGCTATTTTCATATAAAATAAACGTTAAAGTCCATTTTTTGGATGCTTCCTTTTGAATTCAATTCTTAGCATCGTATAAGGTTTTATTGAGCACACACGATTGGCTACAGGCCCGTGCAGTAAATCTGCCCAGTAATATATCTTATGGTTTAATCTTTTTCTTCTGTTTATGAATAGCTGAATTGGCTGGCATTTTCAAGTCCACCCTTAGTTAACACTTTTTGGGGAAACTTAATAAAGTTGGGGGAAAACTGTAATTGTGAATTAAGCATCAGTGTTTTCATCTGTTCTGCTGAGTATGTGAGGTAGGTTTCCAGTGCTTTGAAATTCATGAGATGTCTGTGAAGTGAAGCTTGTGTTCACAACTAACCTTGTCACTCTTCTTACTTCAGTGTTACTTTTAATATGTGTGATTGTTGCAGCAAGTGTTCCAGGTTTCAACTTCTCTAATTTTACATATATATAAAATTTTAAATTGAGTATAGGAAATTTAAATTAGGGAACTAGGGGGCTGGCCGGTTAGTACAGTTGGTTAGAGTGTGATGCTGATAACACCAAGGTCCAGGGTTCAATTCCTGTACCGGCCCATTGCCAAAAAAGAAAACTATAAAGAGCAAGATGTTAGATCTTCATTTAATCATATCAGCCTAATTATGTAAAGTTGCTCATAGGTAGGAATGAGCAATATACCCTTGAAAGACACATCCATGTGTAGCAAATATTTCTTCCTTCTGTTTTCCTTGATACTTAATTTAGTTCTCCCTGACCCCTGCCCTCACTGGTTTGGGTTCTCAGGAACTTGTTTAATATTGACCTAAGGGCATTAAATGCTACATAAGTATCATAAAGCATACCAAAGCTAAGATATATGGAGGAATATTGTAAAATTTACTGTGTTGGTTTAAATAATTAATAATTGACTAAAGCAAAGTCTTTAAAGAAAGTGCAAATTATTTGGGCTTGAAACTTCACTCTGGGTTCTGTCTTTGGGAAAGTTTATATAAGCAATACTGGGGTTTTTCTTAAAACATTTTTACTCTCTGCTTGTAAAGTGATGGCTGTGTACCAAAATTTATTATTATTATGGACTTGGCATTTCACCAAGTCCTGAAAATATTTAGTTTGGTATGATAAATTCCATATTAATACTGTATTCAGCAGCTAATACCTTAATGTTGCAAAAAAGCTTATAAACTTGCTGTTAAACTAACAAAAACATGTTTATTATAGCCTTTTCCAACGAGCCCTATCAAAGCACAGCACCTGTTTTAGTTACCTTCCTCATAGGAGTCTTGGGTATAAGTATACGGATTGTGCTTTGTTTGCTTTACAGAAACTGGCAAGGAAGCAAGGAAGGGCTTTGGATTTGGGGTTATAGAGTAAGTTATTGGTAGTGTTAGGATTCCTTTCTCTGTTCTTTTAGTTACAAGCCCTTGACTGTGTTCCTAACACAACTTGTTGTATTTCCTTTCTAATGGGGAGAGGTAAAATGCTTCTTGTGCCTCCATGTAATTTAACTCAGTATTCCCACGTTGCCACATTTTTGGACCAATCTTAAAGTGCTTTACAAGCATTCGAATCAACTTCAGTAAACCATTTATAATCTATAATAAGGAAGTGTGTCCAGTGAGAGTTCTCAGGTTATTTCAAGTGTCTATACTTTCTTATTGGCCTTTGGCAGATTGGTGACATGGAGAGATTTGAATAATTTGAAGTATGTTTGATGTGATGTAGTTATCTGTTGAGTGCCAGCAGCACAGATATTAATACATAGTTAGCAAGTTCTCTTTACAGTTGCTTGAGTTTGTCTCTCTAACAAGATTGTAAACTTCAGAAGGTTCGGGACCTTAATAATTTTCTGTTGAAGTGAGCCAGGAAAATTCCTTAGCAGGATCTAAGAGTCTCCCGAGTGCTTCCATAAATCTGTAGTGTCTAAATAACTATCCAAGTTGTTTTCTTATAAATTGTGCTTCCTAGAACTATATATGCGCTTTTATCAAGAGTTAGACTATACTTTAGATAATGAGGGAACTTCCTCACTATTCTCACATGCAGGTGGCTCCTTTATAATGTGGGTGTCATGCTGGGTTTTTTAAGCGTAGTGTTATTTTATAACTATTTTTTTATAACTATTTTTCCAACAGTGGCTTACTATAACCTTCAATACCTTTTTCTTCCAAATATGAACATAACACACATCATTTCTTTTCTTCGGGTTTCTTTTTCTCTCTCTGCAAGTAGTTATATCATGTTTGTTATTTTTGATAACTCTTCCTTTGTCATATGATGGAGAGTGCTATTCTTAAATATCTTTTAAAGTCTTTGTTTTTTCTGCAACTTAGAGTTTTATGTCTGATCAACTTGATCCTTAATAAAACATTTCAATACGAAAAATTCTGAATATGAATTAAATAGCCCATTAAATTTCAACAGAAATTGTCACATTATTTGTAAAATACAGAAAAAACCAGCCATCAAACAAGTGGGTATTGACTTAAGTGTACAATCTGCGCTCTAGCTACACTGAAGTGTTCTGATTAACCATGGCCATAATGGTAGTTTGGACAACTCTCAAAATACCGTTTGTCTCAGTTCGTTAGTGCTGTTATAACAAAGTACCTGGACTGGGTAATTTATAAATAATAGAAATTTCTCACAGTCCATTTTTTTCCCCAGAGACTGGGAAATCCAAGGTCAAGGTGATAGCAGGTTCAGTGCCTGGTGAGGGCCTGGTATTTGCTTCCAAGATGGCACCTTGAACGTTGTTGTTGTCTCATGGTGGCAGAAGGGCAAAAGGGATCAATGCTAGTTCCCTCCAGCCCTTTATAAGGTCACTAATCCCATTGTTAATCGCTTAATCACCTCCTAAAGGCTCCCCTTAATACTATCACGTTGGTGATTAAGTTTCAACATGTGAATTTTGGGAGACACATTTAAGCCATAACACCATTTAATTGTTCCATTTTACAGTGTATCGAAAGAGTGTGGTTTATGTCAAATCAGATGTTTATTTCTTTTTTTTTTTTTAATTTTTATTTTGTCGATATACAATGTGGTTGATTATTGTGGCCCATTACCGAAACCTCCCTCCCCAGATGTTTATTTCTGAAACATGTTGAACCTGATATTTTGTATAATTTAAAATATTTATCCCAGAGTATATAGGAAACACTTCGTGGGTATTTCCTTTGAGTATTTCCTGATTAAAATTAAGTTGTCCTAACTCAGACTCATAACTTTTTAGACTTTCAAACCTTTTTCTCTTTGTTGTGGATCACTTTTGAATGCTAGCTCTCCCTTATCTCCCATATCCGATCAGTTCCTGATATCTGTCACTTCCGCCTCCCCAAAAGCTTTAGTCTATGCAGCTCTCTCTGTTCTTTTGTCCAGTACTGTAATTCAAGTCACTACTCTTACATAAGTTATCCAATTGTCCCTATATCATAACTGGTCTTATTATTTTCTTTCAGTCTATACTGCCCTTGTGCCAGTTTTTCTCTACACTGTAGCCAAATTGAATACATGAAAGTGCAGAAAAATATGATAAAAATGTGCAGAAAGTGATAAAAATAATAAGATTTACAAGTCCTTTCAGGATCTAGATCCTACTGCTTCTCCTGTCTCATCTCTTTTTACTCTTCCTACCAATACTCCTCCTCTTCACCACAAACCCTCCAGCCAAACTAAACTGTTTTCACATTTCCAATGTACCATATGGTGTCCTGTCTGGGATTTTGCCATACTGCTTCCTTTGACTTTTTTTAGTGGTCTTCACTTTTGCTAACTTGTGTAAACTTAGGTCTCAGTTTATATATCACTCCTGGGGAAGCCTTCTTCCTCATTTTTTGGGGGGCGGGTGGGGATGTGCTCTCCAGGCGCTCAATGATTACTGACTTACCCCAACTGTGTTATAATTCTCAATTGGGTGTGAATGATCTGTAGAGTAGAAGCTGTGACTTATTTTTCATTGAATCCTTGGTACCTGCATTGGACTTGTCATATTATAGCTCAGTAGATACTTATGAAATGAATAAATGAGTGATGTATTAATGTGATTTTTCTTCACTGATTATTCTCTCCAAAATTATCCACGACAAGGCTAAAGATTATATGAGGTCATTTTAATTTTAGGCTTGAGTGTTATTATTGGCATCTATACTAATTTTTAATATTATATATGTATATCTGTTTCATTTACTATGTTAAGTTTATTTAAGCATAAATTATTTTTTGTAATTCTTGGTTTTCTTTTTATAACCTTGAGATTTATCCCTGTCTCAGGTGGAGGATGCGCTATCCTATCTTGACCAGGTGAAGCTGCAATTTGGTAGCCAGCCTCAGGTCTACAATGATTTCCTTGACATCATGAAGGAGTTTAAGTCTCAGAGGTAAAAGACGTGTGGTTGTACTCAAGTTTTGTTCTTGGCATGTTGATTTTGGAGGGAAGATACAGCTTATTCTTATCTGCTGGATAAACAAGGATACTCCCTTTTTGAAGTTGAATTTTCAGGATCCTGCCTTTATTTTATATATTTCTTTATTAATGGAAATTATAGCCACTAGGTTTTTTTCTATTAGTAAATTTTTCTTAACTAAAATTTTTCTTAGTAGTTTCTCTCAATCAAGGAAGTAGCACTGGTAATGATTTAGGCTTCTTGATTTTTTAATGGCTTAAGATACCCTGATATTCTGGCATGGAGCTATTGTAGGAGAGGTACTCATCTGAACTATGTAGATGCATGCCCACAAAATGATTGTACTGGTGTATCAAAGGTTGGATCTTGCTTGGGAATTGCAGCTTTAGTTTTACTGTCTGAGTATTATTTGCTTGATAGGATTGTTACCATGAACATATATTCTGTTCAAAATTGTGACCAAGCCTCTTTAGATCTAAAGCTAAATGGCTTTAGAATTTTAGTGTTCTTTGTGTGTCATTAATCTTATAATGTGCAGGTTGATTTTTATCTATTTTTCTGTTTTGAGAAAACCTAGTGGAATTTTTTTCTTAGTTGAGTGTTTGCCAAGCTTTCCATTAATCACTTTTCTTTCTTTTTTTTTTTTTAATCAGCATTGATACTCCAGGGGTGATTAGTCGTGTGTCTCAGCTGTTCAAAGGCCACCCTGACCTGATCATGGGCTTCAACACCTTCTTGCCACCTGGCTACAAAATTGAGGTGCAAACCAATGACATGGTGAACGTGACAACTCCTGGCCAGGTTCATCAGATCCCCACCCATGGCATCCAGCCCCAGCCTCAACCACCACCCCAACATCCTTCCCAGCCTTCAGCTCAGTCAGCCCCAGCTCCTGTCCAGCCAACTCCTCAGCCCCCACCTGCCAAAGTCAGCAAGGTAAGCACTTGGAAAATATTGCATATCTGAAACATCCTCCTTTGACATTTTTCCTTTACATAAGACTTAGATAGATACCCAAATTACAAAGATTTCATCAGAGAAGATGTAGTAGTCACGTAATGTTGTTTATGTTTACACAGCACATTTAGATATCTATTTAAATTAACATATCAGCAATCTACAAGGACTTTGTCCTTGACTTCTGCCTATTAAGAAAGCATCCAACAGGTGGTGATGGTGTTTGTGTAGACAGCACAGACAGAAATGGTCATCTTATGGTCAAATTTTGCTTCTGCCCATAGTCATCATTTTACAGAAGTTATTCCACTTACAGATTAGGTCATATCAAGGCAAGCAGAAGATCCTGTTGATGATGATGATGATGAGGTGTTCTTGGTCTAGAATTGCATTGTCTCATACAGTAGCCACGAGCCACATGTGACTATTTAAATTAATTAAAATTCCATTTTTCAGTTGCACTTGCTACATTTTAAGTGCTCAATAGCCACATGTGGGGCCGGCCCATAGCTCACTCGGGAGAGTGTGGTGCTGATAACACCAAGTCAAGGTTTAAGATCCGCTTACCGGTCATCTTTAAAAAAAAAAAGCCACATGTGGCTTGTGGCTGTTGTACAGGACAGTGCAAATAAAGAACATTTCATCATCTCAGAGAGTTCTATTGGACAGAGCAGGTCCAGAAGACTTTTTAGAAAGATTTTTATTGTGTTGTAATTGATTATACATATTTTGGGGGTTCAACTTTGACATATGTTGATCAGCTCAACTTTACTAGCATATATATTGTTACAAATCATACTTATACTTTATGCCCCTTGTCCAATCTTTCCCTATCCCCCTCTCCCCCCCCGAATAGTTTTTTATGTGGAGTTAAAGCAACAATTGAGGTGTTGTCTTTTTTGACATTAAAGATCTGTGTAGAATGAATTTATTTCTAATCGTACCTGTTGAGTTAGTGAGCTTTAAAATTGCATATGAAAAATTATTCCCTGTAATTGAAGATAGCTTCAGTTTTAAAGTTTTATTTAGAAAATTTGAGGCCATGATATTTGTATCAGAATGTGTGACCTCTCTACACTTCTCACCCCTGTCCAATATGATTTGAGTGGGCTGAAATGGCCTGGCCTGGGTGAATAAATAAAGGATATAAATTGGTCAGACACCTTGTTTCTCTTTAATTTGAACTTTCTTTCCTTATGTCAAACCATCTGTGCTCCTGAGGAGAATACTTTTTTCTTTTTAGCCTTCTCAACTTCAAGCACATACTCCAGCCAGTCAGCAGACTCCCCCACTCCCGCCATATGCATCCCCACGTTCTCCACCAGTCCAGCCTCATACACCAGTGACAATCTCATTGGGAACGGGCCCATCCTTGCAGAACAATCAGCCTGTGGAGTTTAATCATGCTATCAACTATGTTAATAAGATAAAGAACAGATTCCAGGGCCAACCGGATATCTACAAAGCGTTCCTGGAGATTTTGCACACATACCAGGTAAGAGCATTGACCATTCAGCCTGTCTTAACCAGGCCACCATCTGAGGGTATCTACCTCAAGAAGAACTTGAATAATCATTATCCTGTCTAAATTCGTACTACAAATTAACCAGTTAGAAAGGATGATGTGTGTTTATAAAACCAGTTTTATTTGCCTGATGTGATTGCCCTGTAGCTGTAGCATTCAGTCAAGATGTTTAAAGTCTCTGCCCTGTGGAATGTATGCCTGTTTTATCTGGGAAGTATAGAAGACAATTTGTACAGTCTAGTTAATCTACACTAGAAGAAGAAATTTCTCTTATGTTTTGTGTTTTATTAGTTGGTAGTGGTCCTCTGGGCATTTATATTTACTGCTGTAGTTTTAAAAGGAATTAATTGTCATTAACCATCTTCCGCTCCTTTCTTAAAGCTTAAAGTCAGAAAAGGTGCTAAGAACATGAATTTTCTTCTTAAGTGTAGTCTATGTAGATAACAACATTGCTCTTATCAGAAATTACAGAAAGTGTGCAAAGGTGACTGATTCAAAACAATGGTCCTCTAATACGATCTCTTCCAATTTGTAATTCCTCAGAAGGAGCAGCGAAATGCCAAGGAAGCTGGTGGAAACTATACTCCAGCGTTGACTGAGCAGGAGGTGTATGCCCAGGTGGCTCGTCTCTTTAAAAACCAGGAAGATCTGCTGTCAGAGTTTGGACAGTTCCTACCAGATGCCAACAGCTCTGTGGTAAGTTTTATGTAGAAGAACTATACTCTTTAGGATTATTATCTTAGAAACTAAGTTGGAAATTTGTAATCAGAAAGGGACTTTTCCTAGATGACACGTATTTGTTTTGATAAGAGCATTAATCTCTTTCATGTGTCTTAAATCAGCTTTTAAGCAAAACAACTGCTGAGAAGGTTGATTCTGTGAGAAATGACCATGGAGGCACTGTGAAGAAGCCCCAACTGAACAATAAGCCACAGAGGCCCAGCCAGAATGGCTGCCAGATCCGCAGGCACTCTGGAACGGGAACCACCCCTCCAGTGAAGGTGAGAATGGGCAGTGGCTGCTCACTTTGACTTCCATGAGTAAGTCTAGTGGACAAGTACTCTCTATGTGGTCATATTTTCTTATCCTAAGCATGATGACAATTGGATCTGGATATTCCAATCCAGTAGGTTGATATATGTCCCAGAAACCCAATGCCAGGCTTCTTATCTGGCTTTACAAAAGAGTGTTAGAATAACACTGATTGCTTGGATGACTGTGCTTTTTTGAGTTCTTATTGTTTTTTTCCTATATTATCTCTTTTCTTTGCCATCAGCTGTCATTTCATTTTTTTGTTTGCTGCCAAGGGTTTCTTAGACTTACTTATTTTTCCTTTCTTCTGATTTGATGCTTTAGACTTGCCTTGTGCTAAGAAAGAAGATTCTTGGGTTTGATAATTGTTTCAGGAATAAGTGAATGGTCTCTGAGGTCCTCTTATGAATAAAGTGTATATGCTTTGTGAGATCTGTTTGGTCTAGAGGCCTGTACTGCCCAGGATTCTTTGTATGGTTTCCAGATCTTATCTGAATAATCTTAATCTCCAAGGCAGGACCTTTGGGCTGTAGCAGAGGGAGGTCTTAAACTCCTATTAGTAACCCATCACCTGATGTTTCGTATTATAATGAGTACTGATAGTCTGCTTACAGAAAGCTAAGCTTGTTCCCTTCTTTGATGTAGTGCAGCTGTGATAGTGAGAGGGCTAGGTGTATATATCGATTGTTGAATTCCTTAGTGACTTCTAAAGCAGTATGTATTATGGAAGAGATAGCTATGTCTACAATTTAAAGAATAAAGGCTGGTGGAATGTGTAATAGTAAGAGGTGACTGGTGAACAGGAGAATAACTACAAAGACTGACAATAGGTGTTGGTGACATTTTTGAAGGACTTTTTTTTAGTGTTTGTAATGGTTTCTCCTTTTGAAATTAAGTTGAACATAGTAATAGTTTGTTTCTTCACTTCAATAAACAGTATTAGTTATGTAGGTAGCAAGAATCAGCTCAGTAGGTATGCTCCACTCTCGGATTTATCTCCTCCCATACTTAATTACCCACAGGTGGAAACAATATATAGGGGGCTTACAATTCCACACCTACTTTCTCCTTCGTCAGTGTAAGCCGAGGCTATGGCTTCTAAGAAAGTGTACTCTGAGATGGCCAAGGTAAATGTGCTGCTTCTCACTGAGTTTGTGTATTTTTTTTACAGATAGTGAGGATTTTTAAAAGTAAATTTTTGCTTGACAGAGTTATGTCATGGCCTATTCATTTCCTTTAAAAGAACAATGTTAGTCTGAGTGGATATTGCTAAGATAGTTATTCCTTCTATTAGGAAAATAAACTGTGCTTTTTTGTGAATTTTTTTAATGAAATATTATTAAAGGTTAAAGATTGATTTCTGTCCATTCCAGGCAATCTACACCAGCTCTTTTTACAAATAGCCTCTTCTTCCTAAACAGGTACAAAAACAAGGCAGTGGCATTAGATTCCAAATAAAGTTGCTTCTGGCCTCTGGAAAAAGTAAGGATATTAATCTAAAAGTTTGTCACAGTAATGCCGTGATCATTTCTGGAGAGACCTTTTGGGGAATAGAATGACCTGTGAACCTCCAGAGGAGAAAGAAACTGACAGGCAAACTGAAATAAAAAAGACAAATAGAAACCTTTTATGGTTTAAAGTGAGTTAGTGACTTGAGTTCTCTTTTGTTCCAAATTATTAGCCAGCAGTGGTTTCAGTGATGGAACCATTGAACACAGATGAAAATAAAATTCAGAGAAATCCACTCTTTGAATCTTACATGTTGGTATTTTTCCATCTTTGCAGAAAAAACCCAAACTGCTCAGCCTAAAGGACTCTTCTATGGCAGATGCCAGCAAGCATGGTGTAGGAACTGAATCATTATTTTTCGATAAAGTGAGTAATGAATTAATTAGATTTGATACTAACTATTAATGCCAAATGAAAATCACCTTATCCCCAAGAAGGTTTTTTTTTTTTAAAGCATCAAACTGATCAGGACTGATTTTTTTTTTAGCATAGTTCCCAAGTTGTGTCTTTTCAGTCTGCTAGAACTATTAGCACAGCTAGAGAAATGATAGCATTGTCTGCTTTGGTTTCATTAAGTAGTTTGTGGCAAAATATAGCATTTTCCATGGTAGAAGACAGGTTTTTAGAAAATGTATCATGTTCTTCTCAAAAGATGTTTGGACCTCCCTGGGGATTGTCAGTACCTGCACCAGTTGTTGAGGACTTCAGATGAGTTGTAATCTAATTGCTGTGATACTAATTTGTGGTATGCACATATTGGGTTCAGGGAATTCTGATTTAATTGTATGTTTTCAAAGCTCCCCAGGTGATTCTAATGAGCAGCCACAGTTGAGATTACTGATATAAATGGTGTTGTTTAGACTACAATGCTAAATATTTACTTTTGGAACTGAAACTCTGGATTGGTCATCTAGCCAGCTTAGTTTTACTTTATGCCATTGAACATTTTTAGATTTTTGGATATTAAAATGCTTAATATTGTAAATAGAAGAAGGAAAAAGATCAGGTTAGAGGACAGAAGTATCTTATATTCAGTGATCATTATCAAGATTACCAGAACTTAATAACAGTGTTGACAAAGACTCTTGCTGAAAACATCTGTTAGGAGAGGCAACAAAAGCTTGGGGACCTCTGATATGGTTTGGAGAATTAAGCATATGAGAAGGTATACTCCAGGATCTCACTATAAAAATTTTTATTATGGCAAATTTTAAACATATATAAAATTAAAGAGAATATAGTAAAATGATCCTTCACATATACCTATCATTCAGCTTCAGCAGTTCCCAACTCCTAGTCGATGTACTTGTTTTATATATACTCTCACCCATCCCAGATCACTTAGACACAAATCGCAGTTACAATATTATTTCATCCATAAATATTTTGGTAAGTTTCTTTTTAAAATGACTCCTTTTTTCCAAATAATCATCACATCTAAAAAACTTAACATTAATCCCTTAGTATTATTAAATATCAGTTCAAATTTCCCAAGTTTTTAAAAAGTAATTGAGGATCTCAGTTCCCCACTTAACTTTTATTATTTTGGTTGTCCTCATAAGGTCCGAAAGGCTCTACGGAGTGCAGAAGCCTATGAAAATTTCCTGCGCTGTCTTGTTATTTTTAATCAGGAGGTGATTTCTCGGGCTGAGCTTGTGCAACTAGTCTCTCCTTTCCTGGGGTAAGTGAAGTGAGGGGCTTAGCCCTGATGCGTGATATGAAGGCAAGGTAATACTTGATTTGCGAGAGTATATGGTAGGGAAAGTTAATGTCAAATGTCACTGTCAAGAGAGTCCTGAGAGGTCTTCTAGTCCAAGTCTAAAGATGAGAAAATAGTCAGAAAGGGCACCAAAGTATCTATTGACTAGTGGCCAAGAGTAGTAGCTTCTCGTCCTCTGCTCAGTGCTGGGATGTTTATAGAGACAAATCTCTCTCAGGGTTCTAGAATCTTGACTGTATCTGACAACCTAAGAATATTGTGAACATTGAAGCAATATTCTTGATCAAAGGAATGGCTAGTTATTTCCTAGTTTCAATGCAACTCTTCCATCGTCATTTTAACTGATGTGAGAGTATTCTGTAAGAAAAGGGGAAACCAAATGCTCAAAAGCAGTGTTTGCCACTTAGTCAGGAAATAGTAGTCATTGGAATTTGTCCCTGGTAGCAGAGTTCTGCCCCAACACCAAATGGTGGTAGTCATACCTCAGGATAACTGCACAGTGCCTCTAAATTGCTTATCAGTTTTTGGTTTGGTTCTTCAGGAAATTCCCTGAATTGTTTAATTGGTTTAAAAACTTTCTGGGCTATAAGGAGTCTGTACATCTGGAAACCTTTCCAAAGGAACGAGCCACAGAGGGCATTGCCATGGAGATAGATTATGCGTCTTGTAAACGCTTGGGCTCCAGTTATCGAGCCCTACCGAAGAGTTATCAGCAGCCCAAGTGTACAGGACGGACTCCTCTCTGTAAAGAGGTAAGGCCTTCCCTAATGAGGAACAGCCCTGGACCCTCAGCTTCATCCTGAAGGGAGTGGTGGTACTAAGGATTAAGAATTTACGTGGATGATTAAATTAAGAACATTCTCTATCCTTTTTCAAAAGAAAATGTTTTACATTTATATTCATAGCCTTTGTCATACTAGTGTCCTTTTGTAAGCTTGCTGAAGGTGAAGTATATGCAGTAATGTTAGCTGTTTATTCCCTCCCTTAGTTTTTTGTCTATCTTTTTATTGAGAATGCTCAATCTCCAGAAAGCTTTTGTAGACTTTTATTTCAGTCTCTTCTTCTACCCAAAGGTTTTAAATGATACTTGGGTTTCCTTCCCTTCATGGTCTGAGGATTCCACCTTTGTTAGTTCCAAGAAGACTCAGTATGAAGAACATATTTATCGCTGTGAAGATGAACGCTTTGAGGTACAACTTCTTCTGTCATTTGAAGTTTGGGGAAGTAGGAGATGGGAAGGTTGGCTTTTTTAGACTGAAGACACAGGCTCACATTCTTCTGTGGTAAATGCTTGTTGTGGTACTTACCATGCTTTATGCATTTGTCAAGTATAGTATTAGTCTGTTTCTGTTTAGTCTATTTGTATTAGTCCGTTTCTGTTGCTTATGGTAGAAATACCTGGAACTGGGTGATTTATAAGAAATTGGAATTTATTGCTTCAGTTTTGGAAGGTGAGAAGTCCAAAGTCCAGGGAACACTCATGGTGAGAGCCTTCTTTGGTGGTGGCTTTTCAGCAACCTCAGGGGTTTCACATGGTAGAAAATGGTGGAGCAGAGAGAGACTAACCTCTTCCACTCCTCTTAAAGCCCTCAGAACCACGCCCCTGACCATCGTTATTAATCCATTCACTGTGGCGTGACCCTTCAATCTAATCACCTCTTCAAGGCCCCGCCTTTCAATTACCATAATAGAATTTCCCACACTCAACAGCTACAGTGGGAATTAAGCTTCCAGTATATGGACTTTGGGGGAAACAATTCAATCAGTCCACAGCAATATCAGTAAAAAAAATTTTTAATGGCAGATGTGACTTATCTAGGTTACTTTAGCCCCTTTAACTGAAGTTATCCATTGATGAGTAAGTAATCCTTTGGATTGTGAATGGCATTTAAAGACAATTGTGTTTCATATACTATAGAAAATCAGTATTCTGAGGTCTATAGAGATTTCCTGGAACTGGGTTTTTTTGGGGGTGGGGGGAAAGTAGGTGGTGTCTGGCCAGGAATTAAACCCTGGACCTTGGTGTGTTATCCACACTGCTCTCTAACCAACTGAGCTAACTGGCTAGCCCCCCCTGAAACTTTTTAAATGATTCATTTTAAGGTCTGTATGTATTGTTACTCTTAGCAGGTATCTTGTTGTTAACCAACCAACTCTGCTGTGACAGCAGGAATTCTCTCATTTCTGGTATTGATTTGGCTCTGTTTGAAAGAAAGTTAAACTAGGGACTTTATTTTAAAGTTGTTGAAGGGAAGAGCTAGAGTGAATAAATGAGCTTATTTACATGGATAGGAGGAGATGTCTTATTCTTTTTTCTTAATCCATACTGATTTAGCTCTCTTCCAGTTTTCTCCCTTCATACTTGCTTCACCTGTTTCAGTGTGTTTTGAATGAAGAACCACATGCTGCCTGGCCATTGGCAGGTGGTTGGCCATCTTTGCCCCAGTGTTTATGAGTTTCAACCATTGCAGAAAACTATATCATGACAGATGTTAACTTCCATGGGGAGTTTAATCAAGCTAAAGAAAGCCTTTTTTTGTTACCTGTGCTTAGTAAGGTTAGGTGATAAGTTAGAAAGCAGAGCTTAGCATCTCTTTTTCACAGGCTGTTCCTGTTCTCTCAACTGGTACGCCTGCAAATGTGAGGCAACATCCTCATTCCCATTTGTGACTACAAGGGTGAAGATGAAAGAAGTGTGATGTGTGTGTATGTGCTTAGGATTTGGTGGGATGGGCTAGTTTGAAGGAGTGTTCCTTTATCAATCAAGAGAGGTTAGTAATGCAGTACAGACAACCCCCACATCTTAGTGACTTGTAAAAACAGTTTTATATTTTGATCATTCTTACATGTGCATTGATGTTTAGCAGGTTTTGCTCATTAGAACCCCTTTTTGGGACCCAGGCTGACATAGTGCCACCATCTTGAGTACTGCTAGTCACTAGAGGGAAAAGAGATCTCAGAAGAATCTCACACCCTTAAATGTCCCAGCCTAGAAGTAATAAACATGACTTCTACCTACCCCATCACAACTTATTTGCCAGAACTAGTTACATGGCCCTATCCAATCATAAGGGAGCTCGGAAGTTTAGTCCATCATTTGTCCATAATTGGGGGAGCAGGGGGGACCAGAAATAACCACAGTCCCAAAACAAGAAAACTTAGGGAGCACTTCTGCAGATACTTGGTTGTAGGTCCTTGAAACTGCTTGTTTACTTCATTTTCTGTTTCTTATTAAGAAAATCTTGTATTAAGACTAGGAAAAAAGTAGATTCAAAGTTTGTCAGTCATATGTTTAACCAGGATAGGCTAGGGCACTGCCAAAAAATAAGTGCCAGGAGTTCAGTAAAAATTTAAATGGTTACACACAGCTACAACATTGACTCCTTAAGGAATGAATAGTCACTGTTGTTACTACTACTGGATATGGATATTTCAGTAAATTTAAATATTTCAAGTTATGGTACATAAAGCTTGTCTTGAGATTGATTTATCATTTTGAATGGTCTTTTAGAGATTGTTTGATTGTTATTGTTCGTAACAGATCTTAGCAATTCAGGAAAGTTTAGGGTAAAGTATCGGTAAAGTTGTCTCCTGTTAGGTCCCTCTGGTCTAGGATCAAGCACACTATGGTGCTGGTGACAGAAGTAATAACTACCATTTATTTATCTTTTTTTTTTTTTCCTTTTTGTCTTTTTTCATGACCGGCAACGGATTGCAACCCTCAGTGTCGTGCCCGTACCGGACCGGGACCGGCAATGGGATCGCAACCCTCAGTGTTGCACCCGCACCTCGCTCAGCCAGTGAGCGGCCGGTCTGTATGTGGGATCCGAACCCTTGGCCGGAGCGCCTCCACGCTCCCAAGCGGCGCACTGTAGCAGTGCGCCACTGGGCCGGCCCCCATTTATTTATCTTTATTGTATGTTTTTTTGTGTGCCGGGCATTGTGCTAAACACTTTATGTGGGTCCTATCATTTAATCCAGAAAACCACCTTGTGAGACTAGTAGGTGCTGTTGGCGCTATCTTATTGACGTGGAAACAGTCTTATATAGCTAGCACAGCAGAGCCAGGATTCAAATGTAGGGAGTTTGACTCCCTACCTTATTCTCCTGACTACTATTCTATTCTGGTTTGGACCTTAAGCCTCGCCCTTTTTTATATTCCTCCTTAGCTTGATGTAGTTTTAGAGACCAATCTGGCAACAATCCGGGTTCTGGAAGCAATACAGAAGAAGCTTTCCCGCTTGTCTGCTGAGGAACAAGCCAAATTTCGCTTGGACAACACCCTTGGGGGCACGTCGGAAGTCATCCATCGAAAGGCACTCCAGAGGATATATGCTGATAAAGCAGCTGACATCATTGATGGTCTGAGGAAGAACCCCTCCATTGCTGTTCCAATTGTCCTTAAAAGGTACCTGAGCAAATGTCCCCTTCCTGCTAGTATATTTCACAGTAGATTCAGTGTCCCATTAAATTAAGACTCTCTCTCTTTTTTTTTTTTTTAAAAGATGAACAGTAAGGGGATCTTAACCCTTGACATGGGAGAGTGTGGTGCTGATAACACCAAGTGAGCCACAGGCTGGCCCTATGCTCTCGTTTTGACCTGATTGTCCCTTGAGACCTCTGTTTCTCCCCAGCCCTGGTTGTTGGAAATTGGACAAAGCGGGATAGTAGAACTTCTTGTTGGGGTTCTGTGTAACCAGCATTAGAGAAGAAACCTTGAAAGTTCATGGAGGAGTGTTCTCTGTGTATGTTTGAGGGGGTGTTTTAAAATACAGAAAAGAACAGAGAAGAAAACAACTACCCATATTCCTGCCACTCAATACTAAACGTTATTATTAACATCTTCGTTTTTCTGTTTTTCTTTTGTTTTTGGCAGCTGGACTTTAAGGGGATCCAAACTCTTGACCCTTGCGTTACCATGGTTTTCAATGAGAAAAATCACCCTTTGTCTTTGTAAAATTTGATACATGCTCTTTATAAAAAACAAGATGTAATTTACCATTTTTACCAAGGATGTCTTACTTTCTCATAACAAGCCTCTGTGTCAGACTTAGGTATAGAGGGGCTGTTGTACCCACCAAAAGCCAAGCATCAAATAGGCCACAGAATGGACTGAGCCCCAAGTCCTCTAAGTCCATGGCACTCTTGAATCCTCCACTAAGATCTGGGTCCTCTCAGTAGAACCTGGTGGAAATTAATTCTTGTTTGCTGTGTAGTTCACAATTGTCCATATTTTATTTTTTACTCTCTAGTCTTCCCCTCAAGAGCTGGCATAGATTGATGGTTATTCCTGTTCTTCTCAGTAGATTTAACATCTGACTCTTGAGACAGGTTATTATTCAATTGTAGTACTATTTTTGGTTTTTACTCTTCTCTGTCTTCTGGAGCATTAGGATCAGTTGTTCTGATCAGAACTTCCCAGACTGTGTCCAAAAGAACATTACTATGCAAGTTCTCTGTTGTTGGACTTCTGCATTTCCATTAGCATAGCAAATGCTCTGGGAAGTCTGCAGTAAAGAATCATGTTTAAGGGCCAGCCTGTAGCTCACTCGGTAGAGTGCGGTGCTGATAACACCAAGGCTGCAGGTTCGGATCCTATATAGGGATGGCCGGTTTGCTCACTGGCTGAGCGTGGTGCTGACAACACCAAGCCAAGGGTTGAGATCCCCTTACCGGTCATCTTTTTTTTTTTAATTTAAAAAAAAAAAAAAAAAAAAAAGAATCATGTTTAACTTCATTTTAAATGGCCAAGGAAGAAGAACCCTTTTTTCATGGAATACTTACTGGCATGTCAAGGGTCATGTCATATT